GTCAGCCACCTGGCAGAACCATACATAGTGTCTTCTGTGAGCTCCTGATGCCTTGAGACCTGTGGTCTTTGCAGGAAGGCAATTCAAGCAGGTTTGGACCAATGCATCCGTAAGGCTAGCACAAGCAGGGCAAGATGGTGCGCTAAGCTGCAGGTAAACCAGGACGGGGGCGGGGGAGGTCTTAAAATTCATCTGTATACTATGACTGCAGCCATAGGATGCAGAGCTGATGTTCATAACCGGAAGGGAACAAGGACTAGTGAAAGCAGTTTGGTTGGTCAGAAGTGGGAGTAGAAACATTCTTTTTAAATTTAGAGTCATAGGAACACTGCTCTCCTATTTATGGGAAAAGAGTTGCCATTTTTCCGGGAAGTCAGTGCCTTTCTGTGCTTCCCTCCTGCAGCTTAATTGCCTACACGGAGCAGTATGTGGAATATGATCCTTTCATAACGCCCGCGGAGCCATCTAATCCCTGGATCAGTGATGACATCGCCTTATGGGACATAGAGATGAGGTAAAAAATGTTTTAAGGTTTGGGAGCAGGAGGGTTGCAGGGGGGAAAAAAAACTATGAGATCACCTACTCCCTATCTTCATCTGATGCGTTTTATTGCTAACACAGGAACCTTGCCAGGAATCCCCGACCGAGTTCTGCTTGTCCCAGCTTTCTACCTCCTTAGAGCTTTGATTTCTGGTGGGTCCTTGTGGCTTCCCTCTGACCTCTCTCTCTGACCCTTTGTGCGTCGCAATAACTGGGCAGTCGCTCACTTTTTCCTATAAAAAAAAAAAAAAAGAATCCATGTTTTCTTCTTAGCAGGCGGTGGCAGTGTTAGCTGGCACTCACTTGCTCTGTACTGGCCATATCACACAGTAGGTGTCTTCAATTCTCTCAGCACATAAACATTATTAAACATTATTACTCTTGCCATGGAACTGATGAGGAAACTCAGGCCCAGCAGAGTTCATGAACTTGTCCAAAGTCACACAGCTTAGTATGTGGCCGGTAGGACTGCACCAGGCAGGGGGTTCCAGGGCTGTGAATGTCATCACTCTGCTCTTCTGGACAGCCTGGCAGCAGTAATTCCATCACCCAGGCGCTCCTGCCCTGTGAGGGGAACAGGTGTAGCTACTTAATCGCTGAACCAGGGAAGCCCAGAGAGTCTTGGACCCCTTCCAAAATTATAGGAGGCGCGTAAACGATTCTGCGCTCTGTGCCTTCGAAACCTCTGCCCTGCCCCCCCCCCAGCTGGATGACATTTCTTTTCTCATTTTTCTGTCACACTCACTTTCTCTTCCACTTTTGTTTTTTTGTTCTTTGGGGTTTTTTTGGTTGTTTTTCTGGCATCTTCTCTTGAAATGGAGAAACCCTCTAAGAATTAGTAAAAGTCATAAAGGCTTATTATGAAAAGTTTAAAAAACAATCCGTATGTGCCCAAAGAAGAAAATCCTCTCTCCCTCTCACCCATTATCATTCTCTAGGAAGAAGCTCTGTTTATAGTCTGATGCCCTCATTACCAAGCTGCAGGGGGCAGCTAGGGCTACCATGGACTAAATGGTTGATGGGAAGAGCAATGTCGGACAGCTGTCAGAGACGGCGTAAGCTACAGGCTCAGGGTAGCTCCCTGTCAACCACAGAGCGTATTCCATCCTTCTCAATGATGTCACATGTTTGCAAGTCTAGATTGTTCAGAGCAGTTTCTGGGATAAAAAGTTAATATTGTATAAAAATCGACCTGGGAGAAGAAAAGAGAGTGGTAGAATCCAATCTGATTCCAAAGTTTGAGAAAATGTGCAGTCACAACAGGTTTCCAATTGTGGCTGGCTATTTATAGTCAGGCAAGGTGACGCATGCCTGTTATCCCAGCCGCTTGGGAGGCTGAGGCAGGAGGATCACGAGTTCAAAGCCAGCCTCAGCAAAAGCGAGATACTAAGCAACTCAGTGAGACCCTGTCTCTAAATAAAATACAAAATAGGGCAAAAACAAGACACTAAACAACTCCCGTGAGTCTCTGTCTCTATAAAATACAAAATAGGGCTGGAAATGTGGCTCAGTGGTTGAATGCCCCTGCGGTCAATCTCCAGTACCAAAAAAAAGAAAGAAAGAAATTTTTTTCTTTCAATTTTTGCACTTCACATAAGTACATAAATACATATTAAGTTGATTTGATCCTGAACTTAATAACTGTTAGGGATTTTTCTGGCCCAAGGGGACCATGAAAAACTTAACTCACTAAGGGTGTCATGAACTCAGAAAGTTTGGGAACCTCTGATTTAGTGTCTATCCCTTTAGATTTGTACACATATAAAATATCCTACTCTTTAGTATAA